TCATTTTCGTGCTTAGGTGTTTTTGGTTTTGTTTAAGCGTGCAAAATGTTTCCTGTGGTTTTATAAATATTGTAATAATTTTGTTTCAGGGCATATGATCGGGCTGCGATCAAGTTCCGCAGGGTTGATGCGGACATCAATTTTAACGTGACTACGATGAGGATATAAAGCAGGTTGTGAGTACTGAACACTGAAGTGGTTTTCGTGTGTTGGTTGTTTAAGAAGCTTGAATGGAATTTTGTAATTGTGGATTTAATTTTCGATTATTACGATGTGCAGATGAGTAATTTCACGAAGGACGAGTTTGTGCATATTCTGCGTCGACAAAGCACTGGTTTTTCAAGGGGAAGCTCCAAATACAGGGGAGTTACTCTGCATAAGTGCGGGCGATGGGAAGCTCGTATGGGGCAGTTTCTGGGTAAAAAGTGAGAAAACAAATATATTTGGTTGAATTAAGTGATGGATGAACTTCACATGCTCTACCCATTTTTTCATTAGTTTTCGATTTTACTATGAATTAAGTGAGATTGTGTAGGTCTGGTTTAGTTGGTGATAGATCAGAATTCAATTTTAAAGTTGTCCGGGGTTTATTGCTGCAGGTATATATATCTTGGGCTATTTGACAACGAGTTAGAGGCTGCAAGGTTTTACCAATCGTATATCAGAATATCTCTTAGACTAAATTCCTAAACATTTTGGATTTCATGTATATACAGACACACGCATAGTGTGTTATTATTGACTTGCTGTGTAATAATTCCAGAGTGTATGATAGGGCTGCTCTAAAATGCAATGGAAGGGAAGCAGTTACAAACTTCGAGCCCAACATATATGAAGGGGAGGTGATTTCCCAGTCCGATAATGAAGGTGCCACTTGTTAATTGTTGAGCTCTTTCATTTATTTCAGTCACTTTATTAAATAAAGTCGTGGATTAACATTTGACCATGGGTTTATTTTTCAGATAGCAAGCAAATTCTCGATCTTAACCTGGGAATAGCTCCGCCGTCTTACTCTGACAGTCAAATCAAGAACACATCCGGGAACGGGAGTGGTTTGAAAGCTCCACCCAGTTGGGATGATATCCCTGTCGAAAAGAGATTTATGGTAAGGTGGAGGAGTGGTGTATATGATTGAATTCAATTCTTCTTTAAGTCTGCACTGGACTCCCTGCTTTTTCATCTGTTTCTGACTAGCAGTTTGTATTCTTAGCTTTGATGGTAAATTTTCACTCGTTTAATAGTTTGAGCACTCTGGATCGAGATCTCTGAATGTTCAGCCATCTCAAGGCATCTCCATAGTATTTGGGCATCATCCTTCCGCCTGGAATGGTAGCAATTTCTTTCCCATTTACGAGGTGATTCTCATGTATTCTTATGGCGTGGATAACTAGTTTTGCTTGATATATATTACTTATTAGCGATGAGAAATTTTGGTTTATATTTTACAAGAAACAGCAATAGAGAAGACGATGGAAGCTGGTCCCATGCCAAATTGGGCATGGCAAGTCCAAGGTCCCTACGGCGGGGCAACCCGTACTCCACCGTTCTCTACTGCAGCATCATCAGGATTCCCTTCAACAATAATACCATCAGCTGCGGACACTCAAATTCACTTTCCAAACATGACATTCCTCCACTCACATTTTCCACCATCAATCACTAATTTCGGCACCATGTCCCCTTTCTCCATCGGTAGCTGAATGCATTGCTAGGTTCTCGAGAGTATGGTTGATAAAGAAACTAGTAGGACTGGGTACAAGTAGTAATTGAATTGCTTGATTCTAGAGGTTTACTATTTGTCCTTTAATATACTAATTTTCTTCAATGTAAAGAAATGTCATGCCACACAGCGAAGGCATAATGAACTCTGCTTTATTGATTTGAGACTACAATAATGAGTTATCATTTACAAGTTGATAAGTTTGTCTTCTTTTTCAAGAAAGAGTAATAATTTAAATCTTAAATATTTAATATTATAAATTTTGATAAAAATGATGAGTGAGAGAAACATTATAAAGGATTAGTTAAAGATTAGCCAGAAAATAATTGTGATGCATTAATCACGTATTAGCTAGAGATAAATTGTCGGGGATTAGCTACAGATTAGCGAGAGAAAAATTGCGAGGGATTAGCGAGAGAAAAATTGCGAGGGATTAGCTACGGATTAGCGAGAAAAAAATTGCAAGGGATTAGCTACGAATTAACGAGAGCGAAATTGCGAGGGATTAGCTACGGATTAGCGAGAGCGAAATTGCGAGGGATTAGCTACGGATTAGCGAGAACAAAATTGTGAGAGATTAGCTACGGATTAGCTACAAGTTTTGGGAGATCAAATTAGCTAGAGATAAACAAAATTTGATCATTTAAATTAGCGAGAGATTTAGTGACAGTTTAGCGACAAAATTTGCTACAAGTTTGAGAGAGAATACATCTGTATCTAATTAGCTACTTGGATTTAGCTACGGACTATTCCATAGCTATTCCGTAGCTAATCTGTAGCAAAATATACCAGCGAGAGATTAGCTATAAAATAGCTACGGAATGTGTCCTAGCTAATATGAAAAATTCTTGTAGTGTTACATTATGCGCAAGTTTGATATATAATGTCATAATATTATGTAATCATTGTGTTGTTATGAATAAAACTAGTTGTTGGTTTTTATGTTATTTAATTCTTGAAAACACGCACATTTTATACAATCTCTCCAATATTATTTATTTTCTCTCTATTCACTTGTTTGATGGATTCAAATTTTGAGTTCGATCTACTTTGTAATCAACTTCTTCAAGAAATATTTGAAGATAATTCCAAAGAATAAATTATGAGATACTTATGCAAATTTTAATAGCAAAATGAAAGTAATACATGATCTAGACAAAGAAGAGTCATAAATGGTAATCATGAAGACAATCATACTCGCTTGATTAATGACTACTTTTCAAAAAATTAAGTTCTTAGAAACTTGGTTTTGTCGAAGATTTCAAATATGAAAGCAATTGTTTCTTCAAATTGTAAATAATCACAATCTATAATTTCAAATAAAATTCGATGCAGTTGGTAGAAGAGGTTCATCACTATTACAAAAATGTATTATTACAATACATATATTAGCATATAGATCACCCATTGATAGTGTGGATAAATACATTCAAATTATTGAATATACTATAATCCAATATTTAAAATATTTTGTAAATGATGTGAACGAGATATTTGAAGATAAATACTTAAGAAAGTCAAACGATAAAGTTTTCAATCACCTAATACAAATTGTAAAAGTTTGTGGGTTTTCAGGTATGTTTGGTTCGATTGATTGTATGCATTGGGAATAAAAAAATTGTTCAATTGCATGACAAGATCAATATCGTAGAGGTGATAATTGGAAACCCACAATAATTCCTGAATTTGTTGCTTTAAAAGACTTGTGAATTTGACATGCATATTTTAGAGATGCCTAATCAAATAATGATGTTAATATATTAAATCAATCATTAGTCTTTAATGACCTTTTACAAGGTTGAGCTCTTCCAAGGTAATTTACAATTAATAGAACTCTATATAATATGAGATATTATCTTGCATATGACATTTATCGACAACTTTTATGAAAATTATCTTAATATCGCAAAGAGAAAAAAGAAAGTTATTTGCAAAATATCAAGATGCTGCTAAAAAAGATGAAAAAATATTGTGTTAAAATCCGATTTGTAATTATATATGGTCTATCACATAATTGATACATACATACAATGAAGAACATCATATTGACATATATTATATTACATAATATGATTTTTTTAAGCTAAATAAGAAATATTCCATGATAATGTTAATATCTCAAATGTTAATACATGTGATGTTCGTGTTACATACCTACAAACATGACATTATAAGCATGCATTAGACTTTCATCAACAACTTCAAGTGAATTTGACTAACCATAATCGGAATCCTTTCAATAACAATAATAACAAAATTTTAATTTTCCATATCTTCAATTTTTTTTATGACTATATGAATTATTTTTATTATTAATAAAGTAAATTTATCTTTATTAATTAAAATATAAAATCTTAATTTTTTTTATATTGTGATTTTAATAATTAAAATTTAATTAATTAATATTTTTATATATTTTTTAAATATTAAACTATTTTTTTTTGTAAAATCTATAAAAATTATTTAAAATCTCAAAATAACATCTACTACTAAACTTAAAAAATTAATAAGATCTTATATATACAGGGTCACACAAAAGTTGTATCAAGATCTCAATTGAGATATTGACATTAAAGATACCTTAAATCTAATCTAATTTTTTTTATTATCTATCAATTTATAATTAGTATAAAAACTTAGTCAATAAAAACCTAGTCAATAACAACCAATTCTCAATCATACTTGATTATAGAAATAAAAAAAACTATTAATAAAACAAAATTAGGTTCTAAAATCAATTAATAAGAGTTTGTAAGAGCATATAAAAAAATATTTAAAATTAAAAAAAATATATAAAAATTTTTATTTTCCAATTTTAAGTCATTTATATATATAATTTATAATAAAATAACATTTTTATTTATAAATAATATTTTGATCAATTATTTTAAGTGATTTAATGAGAATAAAAATAAAATTAAAAGAAGAAAAAAAAAAGTCTACCAAAATACTTGGCCTATTCCTGGTCTAAATTCGAGGAGGTTTGGTTGTTCGAACAATCCCTACCGTACACATTCAAGGCCATCACCACTTAACCCCAATACAGAGCTTCATCGTTAACCAACCAACCACCAGGCAACATACTCACAAACCAACAACAAACATCAAACGACTCAGCCACGAAACCAAACACACACTTGAACAACTGTCTAACAGAAACCAAAACGCAACGCAACACAACACAGGCAGTGTCCTGGTTAATTGCTGTCGTTGTCTTCCTCTCTCTCATTTCATTCCACAACATCAAATTTTACCAATTTTTTTTTTAAATAAGGAAAAAATGGCGATTCATTATTCATCCACTCCTCGTTGTTGCATGCCACCGCTGCATCGCACTTGGGCCTCTCGATCGGTTCTCGCGCCCTCGATCTTCTTCCGCACTTCCACCCTCAGGCTCGTCTCCGTTCGGTCCCAGGCCTCGGGCTCGGACCACATCGGTTCAGCCAAGAAACACTCTCGTGCTTCTGTGGGGTTATCATCTTCTTCGTCGTCTGTGATCGATTTTCTCACTCTCTGCCACCGCCTTAAGGTACCTTACAAACGCCACGAAAACAATCACTCACTTTGCCTTCAATTTTTCCATCCATTGGTTCTATCTTCTGTTGTATGTGTGATCTTGGAATTCCCAATCTACCCTTTTTATGGAAAAGGATAAAAAAAAAACGGTTTTTGTGATCTTATATTATATATGATGTCATTTCTTTATGTTGGGTCTGTTGGGTAGGTTTGAGAAATGTTTTCTGTTTACCCTAATAATTGTGAGTATTAGGTTTATTAGTAAGTTATAGAAAGGTCATATACTAATTTATAAGGTTGAGTGAACTCTTTCAAATGCCTTTTGTACTGGAAATAGTGAAAGCAACAACGTATTTTATTTTTGTATTGGTTAAGGAAACGCGTGCTTCTGTGGATAAACGTACGTGCATTTATAATTTTTAGTAGCATTGCATGAGAATGGTGTCTGGGGAATTGGCTGCATTTTTTTCATTGGTAGCTTGTGGCTACGGCCAATCTGTCAAAGTAGACTATTGGGTTGGTTTATGACAACGAGGGTTGAAAATGGTGATGGTAAAGAATCTTTAGGACTTGAATGTCTGTCTAAGAGATATTCAATTGTATATTATCGTTGAGATGAAATTTACTTACGGGGAGAACATTAGAGGTCTATATAGTTAAGTTGACAAGGATTTAACTCTGCTAATGGAAGAATACTGTGTAAAGTGAGAAAGTGAGGATGTATTTATCATTGATATAAAGTGAGTTGAGTTGAGATACTTCAATTTAAATCAATAATAGATACAGTGTCACTCTCGTATTTTCAGTTTTTACCAGTTTCTGTTATTTCTCTATCAATAGCTACTAATGTTTACTCCCCTGCTTTTACTCTTCCAAGCATAGACCCTTCTAAAGGAGGTTTACTGTCAATACATTATTTATAAAAGCGCATAAAATAAAAATAGAGTCATTGTCATCTGTAACAGCTTCTTTCCCATGTCACTTACATATGCAGAAACAATATACCTGTCATAAATGGGCACACTTTGGCTTAGGAAGCTTAAATTTTTGTATTTATTCTTACTATACATTTGTATCTAAGTATTTTTTAGATTTTCATATTCACAGAAAATAATATGGTCTCTCTTTGTCATATATATATGCCTTGTAGACCACAAAAAGGAAAGGATGGGTTAATCATGGGATAAAAGGTGCTGAATCGATTGCTGATCATATGTACCGCATGGCTTTAATGGCATTGATTGCTGGTGATGTTCCGGGATTGAATAGAGAAAGGTTTCACATTGAAATTCTCATTATGTATATTTTGTTATGCTAATTTATGTTTTGTTTTTGTTGTGAGATTCATGCTTAGATTCCATGATTCCATGATTAAGTGAAGCTGTTAAAGTAGGGTACATTACTTTAGTATTGTCTTTGGTTGGATATTGAAATGACTTAGCTTGTTGGAACATGTTCTATTTGACGTATGTTGTAAGGTTTCAGTGAAGTGTCTTCTATTAAATACTCGTGGCTTTTATGTTTTATATTATTTGCTTTCTATTCTATGCTTATGTTATATTCAGTTTGGTTAACTTTATTGGTCACTTTGATAAATCTTTAGAATGTCCTTAAAGACTAGAGGGTAAATTAAATGATTGCTTGCATTCTTCCCAGTTTGGGACATTATACTAGCTATGAAAATTTGAATCTTATTAGCTTGTTGTAAGGCTTAAGTTGCAAATCTTGCAATAGATAATTTTTACCACTAAGGACCATTTCTTTCTTAGAAAGAACGACCTAACATAAGAAACTATTCTTGCTGTTAGAGATATTGGGGCATAATTTCTCTTTTTTTAAAAAAAAAAAGATCTTGCATTAAATTGTGGCTGGATAATGAATTTCCTGTTTCAAATTTCTTGTTCAAGCTTGGCCCGTCATGTCCACTTGCAAAGCTGCTAGGTTGTTGTTGGCACAGATTAGTGAGATATTTCTGTCTATGAGATTTGTAATTTTGTACTCAGTCCAGTCTAAACTGCATAAGTGAATGTAAGCTATGCATTCTTGTCATAAGCCAAAATAATATATTGTTTTTGCCTCGTGAATATTATCTGTCTAATAGTGTAATACTATTAGTCAGTATATTTTTATCTCACCTCACCTGATTGATTTTGGTCCAAAACTTCCTTCTATTTGTAGATTCATTTTTGTTGGAGTAAGTTACTTTAGTCCTCTTATTTTCATTTAGTTGATTTGTTTTAGGTTATCCCCTTGAGTTTCCTTTTGAACTTTTTTTTTTCCTGCTGTACAGATGTATTAAAATAGCACTCGTGCATGATATTGCAGAAGGTATCTTTCTGGTTTCCTCTGATTGAATTGTTTCTACATTTCATTATATTAAACCTTGGCGGAAATTTTGCATTGCATGAGTTGCTCAAAGAAATGAAAACTGTCAAACAACTTCTACTTTTATTTTTAAAGCTCTTATTTTGAGCTTTAATTTTAAAGTAATTGTTAAGCCAAAAAAGAAAGTGGACGAAAACATTTGGAAAAACTGATCATAATACACATTTCATTTTCAGTGGAAGTTAGAGTTTATAATGTAAAATTGAAAGGAAAAATTCAATGAAAGAACTTTAGATTATTTGACTTTGTTCAATGAATTTTTGCTGAGTTGTGTGTGATTGTGACCACCGAACACTTTATTTATCTTCAAAGTATACATAGGAAATGTTTAAGGTATCTAGTCTTCTTTGATATATTGCTGATTTATAATCTATCAAATTTTGAGTTCAGTTTTGCATTTAATAGCTATTGTAGGAGATATAACACCGGCTGATGGTGTGCCCAAGGCTGAAAAGAGCAGAAGGGAGCTGGAAGCTTTGAACAAAATGTGCGAACTTCTTGGTGGAGGGATGAGAGGTTTTGTAAATTATTTTCCTTGAAATTTTTTGGAGAGATTCCAAATTTGGCATCAAATTTATTTAAGGTCACTTTTGTCGTATTACAGCTGAAGAGATTAAAGAACTTTGGGCAGAGTATGAAAACAATTCCTCTTTAGAGGCAAATCTTGTTAAGGATTTTGACAAGGTACAAATATGCAACCTTGTATGGAGGTTCCCTTTATGTTTGAGCCTGAATATTCGAACAAAAATTGTCATGTTTCAGCCCTTTATTTTTACAGCAGAAGATTTAGAATAAAAAAATTGAAATTGGAAGTAGAAAGGGTGATTGAGTGGTGGGAGTGGAAAAAGCTCTTTTAATGTTGTGACTCTTTTTCTTTAATTACAAAATATTTTCGGGACAGGAGAAGTAGAACTATCAACCATGCAATGAGTACAAAGAACAAAATACAAGATGAAAATTGAAAAAATAAGAAATATAACAAGGCGCCCTGTTTCTCAACATCTCAGAAAGGGATGTTTTCCTTAAGCCACCATCACAGAATTCCACACTGTTTTGGCCTTTCTTACCATAATGGTATATCCGATATATCAAACCATCAGAAACTGTCTTCAACATACAAGGCACACCCAATAATACTGAACTAAGATCTCAAAAATATTTTTCCATAAGAATGTAGCTGTCTTGCACTTCCACTGCAAGAAAAAGTGGCCTAATGTTTCTAAGCTAGACCAGATAAGACTGAGAAAAAGGTATTGAAGACTGAGGCCTATAAATTAAGTTTAAAAGACTAACACTTACGATAAAAGCCTCAAAGTCACTAATATTGAAGTAGGATATAATTTAATGACACAGAAGAAAGTGATGACTACTATAGCACCATATTCTCTCTTGAATTGAATTGAATGTTATTGTGAACTTACAGTAGCCTAATTTTCTCTTTATAACAATTAATTTTTAGGGGTCTCTATTTTGGTTCAGAATTTTAAATTTTAGAGCTTTTTATCAACTTATTTTTGTGTTTTAGCTCTAGAGTATTTTATTATTTTATTTGTGTTTAACAGTTAATTTATATAGAAAATCAATTTAATATAGTCAAATATTTTGATGGTTTCTTCTTATACGGACCTACTCACCTGAAGGTTAAGTTAAGCACAGGCACATGCACGACTTTATTACATCTTTTGCATGTTTCCTGATGCAAGATCCCTTTGGGCTTGAAGCATGGACACCACTAAATCCATTTTTACATTTGTTGAAATTCAACTTTATTTAGAAGAATGGGGCAAAAGTTATCAAATTACCATGTTCGTCACATGGTAGTTAAGGTTGTGTTACCATGGAAGTTTTAAGTTATGTAATGAAAGCCTGTGTCTCCTTGAAGGTGCCTTTTACCATCGAACAACCTGGGGACTTAAAAATACCCTCTTGTATCCTAATTTATCATCCATTTAATGGACTGAACACTGAAGAATATCTGTCATCTTTGATTTTTCTGAAAGAGGGGACATTAACAATTGGGTTTTGAATTTGATATTGGGGATGATTACTTGTAAAGAATCACTACTTGACTGTAAACAATATTGATGATTGATTGGTTACAATGGTAATTGAGTGGAAGCTGTAGAAATTTGATGTTGGGAAACATTTAATGTATGTTATTACTCTAAATGAAAGGGTTGGTATTAAGAAATTATAAGTACTAGGCAGAAAAATAGCCCAGCATCAGAGAAATCAACCCAAGTATGATTAAGTTTAGAAAAGCAGAGTGTAATGAATCCCTTTTTATTGTTACGAGTATAGTAAGTTAGTCTGTTAGTTTTTTAGTCAGTAGTTAGATGCAGCTGTAATTGTATCTTTCTGTTACAGAGTTCTTTACATCTATAACCTCTACGTGATTAGTTTTGGAAATTGTTAACCCTTGAAAATGTTTTGAAATTAAGGGAAATGTGAGAGTTGTTAAACATAAGGGGTTTAAAACTTTGTTGCAAAATTCAGACTTAGCAAATTTTAGTTAGTGTAATTACTACTTTTGATACTGTCATATCATTGTGGTTCATTTCTAATTATATTGTCCTGTTCTTCTAACATTCTGTTCAGGTTGAACTGATTCTACAAGCGCTGGAGTATGAAATAGGTACGTGATAAATGGATATATTGCATGTGGCCTTGAATTCCTGCCATGATACCTCTTTAAGTTTGGAATTCTAAAGTCAGTTGAACTCCTCCAGCTGTTTTATGATTGAATGAGTTGATAATTGATAGTTCTTCCTAAAGTGAATGCTACTTTTGCTTTTGCCACATAATATGCTTTTTCTCAAAATATATATTTTGTGCAGAACATGGAAAAGTGTTGGATGAATTTTTCCTTTCAACCGCAGGTAGAATTGAAACTCTAGCTATAAATTAAATGTTTATAACTTTTATTTGAACCTCTGTCAACAAGCACTCATCTTTTACCTGGTCTTCAGGGAAGTTTCAAACTGAAATAGGAAAAAGTTGGGCAGCTGAGATCATTTCAAGAAGAAAATCTTTAACAGCAGAAAGGCTCCGTTGATATAGGGTTGGCAAGTCTTGGCTTGAGTGATTATGGTTGGTCAGATTAACAGAAAAGCTAAGTTAAACCAGAACCAATAAGCATGATTTTTTGCAGAACCGGGTTCTGGAATTTTAACATAATTTAGGGTGACATCTATCTCGTGTCCCTGCCTGATAAGTTCTTGTTTTGACTATGGAATCATTTTGTCTTTCTTGGTGACGCATTTTAAACTTAGTTTTTCTCCAAATTGTTTCTTTTTGTCAACATTGGTAGTGTAAATTAATATCAAATATTTAGGCAAGTATTGAACACTTTTGTAATTTGTCTAACAAATAGTTGGACATTGTAAGTAACTATTTGATTTTAGTGATGTTTCAGAAGTCAAATCGAATAGGATTTTTTTTTAATCAAATAGTCAGGCACTGAAATCTTAATTGAATACTAGTTTCAACGATTTGAACGAATTATAAAATTTCACGTTGTTTCAGCTTTTGAAAATAATTACAAATTGAAAAAATATAAAATTTGTTTAAACCCAAAATATATTTTAAATCGCATCTCAAAACTTAAACTGAACTTTTTTCAGTTGATTTTTGATGATTCTATATGACCATAAATTATATTATTTTATAAAAATAAGTATCTAATAAAATTTTAATCTTCAATCCAGAAAACGAATGAGGAATTGAGATTACTACTGCTGTAACGAATATGGAACTCTATTAAATAGAATAAAACAAAATACTAATAATAGAACAAACAAGTGAAAATAATTCATTACATATAAATTTAGAATCAAATATTTCAATATTTAGAATATGAATCTAAATATGAATACTATTCTTTCTTGAATCATACTATTCAATATAATGTTATGCAATTTGTGTTTTAAATGTGATGTTTCTGTTCATAAAACTCCATGAGTTGGTATTTTTAGTTTTTGTCCCATAATATCCTTTGTGAGTCATGATTAAAACAAAGAGATATTCATTGTGATTCAAAACATGATATCATTGTATGCAAAAATAGTGTTCCATACATAACCGTGACCCATCAAATCAAATTTTGAGTATTGCACAAGACATTAGAAAGTACAAAAATGATTAAAAAAAATCATTCTCAATGAGTTCAAATGGCTGTCCCCGTCATGGTTCATATTTGGCAACAAATTTTAAGGTGAGGTGTTACTCTAATCGATAACAATTTTTTTTTTTTTTAAGTAAAGTAATTAATGAGCAATTTGACTTGTGAAGATGTTAGACAGAGATGGAAAAGGTTGCTTCATACAATTAATGTGGTGAAAAATTGCTTATGAAAATGCTAGATGGAGATGGAAAATGTTACTTGATATGATTAATTTTTTGTTAAAACTGAGTTATTGAGAGATAATTTGTTTAATTGAAATTAATAACATCATCAAACTATTAAGAGCTTTAGAATATTTCATAGTGTCTTACTTTATCTTTCTTCGCGCCAAAACATTCAATTTGTCTTAGACATCTTTTAATACTTAAAGCAAAATTGATGTGGTTATTTATGCAAACAATTTTTACAAAATATTATTTGCTCTAATTGTAAATTACATATATAAAAAAATATGTAATTTTTATTTAAACAAGATCTAAAGAAAATAAAGAAACTCGTATTAACTATTACATTCGATTATAATGAATAAGGTTTTTTTATTAGTGGTCATAAACCGCTTTACATTTGGTTCCACCTAATGAGACATTGACAAATTCATGGATATTTTTGACCATTAATTAAGATTATGTAAAGCTTTTTATGATCTCAATAACTAGGACACTCATAATCATTTCTAGAAAAATACTTGCATTCAACACAAACCAAAAGCTTAAAGTGTGGATACATCCTAAACAAAATTTAGATCTCTTAATTACAATTCCACTTTTAACTAACACCTTGAAAACCCTTTAATTAATTATTACAGTTGGTCTTCACCGACACATGGGTCAACAATAGCTTTAATTGAAGGAAACAATGGCTTTTTTAAGTGTCCATTCAAAAATGAAAAAGGACGTCAAAAGATTGTTTAAGAAGAAAATAAGATTCTTTTATTAAAAAAATAAAATTTATTTATTTTTTAAAATAAATTAAACACACATAAAATTAAAGTAAGTATGTTTTATTAAAAATCATTTATTTTAAAAATTAAGTACAAACAAATTCACCTATAATTGCATTCCATTTCTTCATATTGTATTATTTGTTTTAAATTTTACTTTGTTGATAACGTACAAAGAAGGAAAAAAACATCGACATGAAATCAACCTAATTTAAAAATAATACAAATAGAAAACACAAATATAAATAACCTAAACAATTATCAAATAAAATTAAAAATTCAAAAAGAAACTATAAAAGCATTTTGCATATTGACCCAAACCTTAATGTGTACTAAATGTGTATAAACAAAAACGAAAAAAGTGAGACACATTTTTGTTAAGTATGTCTAGCCTAAATTGTAACTTTCTTGCATTATTTTGTTTGTGTACAGGATAAATACATTTATTTGACACGTGTAAAAAGTTTTTTTTTACTGCTAATTTTATATTGATATAGATTTTCCAACTCAAGTATGACTTGATAACTTATTGTACCATTTTTTAGGTTTGACTTGATTTTCTATATATGCTTAAATTCGGTGATTTTTTTTTTTTATGAATCACATATATTCTCCATCCAACTTAATTATGTTTGAATTGGATAAGATTAAAATAATGACAAGAATAGTTCATATCCAAATTTTAAATTAAAAACCAATAATTAAATTAGAATAACTAATTGATTATGGTGGTTAAGTTGATTTATCTTTATTATTCAAAAGACTAATAGATTTACACGAATTCATGAAAAAACCAAACAGGCTTACAAATTTATTAGTCTATGAAACTAAAAATGTTCTTTTTTAAAGATAATCTTATTTGAGACACTACCAAACACTAAATGCAAACTTCTCGACAAAAATTAAAACCTTAATTTAAACATAAATTAATTAAGATTTATTTGATTAGTTTTTTAAAATAGATTAGATCACTACATTAAGATATTTTTTATTGAAAATAATAGAAAGAAAGAAAATAAAAGAAGAAACAGAAGCGTGAAGAAGACTGAAGAAAGGAAAAGTGGGACAATTTGAAGGTTTCCAATCAATGTTAACAAGCTCTTGATCCAAAATGTTACCCTCATTTAATGCATTTTAAACTCTCACTGTCTTAACAAATCATCATTCTTTTTTTGTTGAAAATATGTTCTTATCAATTTAATCTAGTTCATAAAGATGAAAAATCCATTTTAGGCGTAGATTGTGACGAAATGAAAAATCCATTTTAGTACATGCAGGATTTAAATTATTATAATCTTCATCTTATGTTTATGAATTAAGTTAAATATTTCGTCTTTCTGAAAATTATATACGAACTCATTATGAAAAAAAATTCAAATAAAAAATGTGACAAAATCTTATAAATCAAATATATGATAATATTATATAATAATAGTTATGAGTCACAAAACTTCTTATCAAAAGATAAAAAATTTATAACTTATATATAATTATAATTTTTATTTCCTAAATTTAATAATAATTAAATATATTTTTTATATTTATAAATTTTGTCTCTTATTTATTTTTATTTTTATATTTTTTATATTTATTTATTATTTATTAATAATATATTATTTAATCTCTAAAATCATGAGTAAAGATCTGTTTATGAAAATTTTATATTTTATTATTTTTAATAATTTTGAGGTAAATACTTTCTATTTTAATTCATCATTTATAATAAATTTAAGATAAATATTTTTTATTTATTTTTTAGACTAAATATCTTAAATATATATATATATATATATATATATATATATATATATATATATATATATCATATAAAATTATGTTAATATTCGCCGTACATAAATTAATAATTACTCTTATACATTTAAAATAAAGCAATTCTTTCAATTGTTATTTTAATGTATAAATTCAAATAATCAATCTACAACAACAATTTTCTTAACTAAAAAACAGAACATAAAAACCACTCATGACTGTGTTCCTGCATGCTGAAAAAACATAAAAAACAAGACTGAGAAAATAGAAAAAGAAGAAAAGTACGCGGTTACTACCTGTCTGAGTTAGGTTTATTGTCTTATTATGCATTGAATAATTGATAATGTAAACATGTTCATGTCATGCTCTGAGCTTATCTTTTGTTCTTAATCTCATGCATGTCCAAGTTCATTTTTAAATCCCCACTTTGCTAAATAATATTTGTAAAATGCTTCATTTTCATTACCCTACAACCCCTACGAAACCAAAGCTGCAAATTATCGAATAAAAAATGGAAGCCAAGAATCAGTAATGACAAATTTCATTAATTACTGTTATTGATGATGGTATCTCACAGTGACCTTCCCATTATCAAATTACATTAATGCATTTTATTACAAAAAATAAAAATGTTCCAGAAATAAATAATAGTATGGAACTTGCGGCGACTATGAAGACAAAACTAGCACTTTAGGGGAGATTGTTAACTTTTTTTTTTATCTCTTTCAATTAATAATTAATTAATTTTGGAATAAATGACCAATTTATTCTTGGTCACAAATTAGTTTTCTTAAAAAGAAAAATACTTATTTTATTATTGAATGTTGAAATAACATATCTCTTTCAACCTTTCATCTATTAAAAATAACATTTTTAGAATTAATATTTATATATAATTTCTGGTATAAAAATTAAATTCCACTCTTTAACTAAAAAAAATAATATATATAAATTATAATTCACCTCAATTTATACATAATATAAAATTTTTAATATATTGAGACAAACATATAAAGAATAACTAAAAAACCTCCACAAATTCACTAAAATAACATTATTAAAATTAATTATAGTATAAAAAATATTATTATTTTAAAATTTGAATTCGATTATATCTTGATTCATTAGAAAATAATTTTGATAAAAATCATGAAAAAAAATAACATACAGGGGTATTAATTTGGATTTATAGGTTAATGAACCCATTAGATGTATTATAACAATATTTTTTTTACTATTGTATATTAATTTATTTATTAAATTATATTTTCCATGATCAATTTTACACTTCCTTTATATTTTTAAACTATTAAGCTTTTTTTTAATATTTTTACTTTTATTTAAGCGTTATTTCCAATGTTTAACACAATATTGATGATTTTTTTTCTTATTTATATCCTTACTCTTTACTTAAATCTTTAATTGTCATGATGTAGAAATAAACAATGATAAAATATAAAACCTTATAAGATTAAAAAAATATTACTTTTATTAATATCTCCAAAATAACCTTAAACCACATTTATTATATGAAAAAAATAATAGAAGAAGGATTAAGCGGTAAAGTTCAGGAATGTATACATGATGATTAAGATGTACATTAGAATATATTATCATCTTATTATATATTTAAAGATTATATAATTTTTTTATTAAAAGTTATATTGTCAGTTATTCACATTTGAAAGGTGAGAACAGTTATTTACTATTAATTTCATTCAAATAATTATTTATTTTCATTTAGTCTGAATATTTTAAAAATTAGACCAACATTTAATTGGTTGAATTAAAAATCAAATTAGAATCAATTTGTTGGTTCAAATTAGAATTAGACAAATTAAAATAAAATTAGTAAAATCGAAATTTTGAATTTAACCAATTTTAATAAATTTTTTATATATAATATTTTTTTATTTTATATTAATCCTATTAATTTTAAATAATAATTATTTTATTATATTTTTATTTTATTTTAAGAATAAGTCAAGAATGATCGGAATAACTCAAGTGTCACCGTTTAAATATGGTGTGTATCTTATAATTTTTATTATATTTTATAACATGATAATAATAATAATTATTATTATATTTTTTATAAAAAATATTATTAATAATAAATTATATTATAAAAATTCTGGTCCGATTTAAAAAAAATTAATGTATAATCTTCGTATGTCACGATAAAAAATTTACAAATATGAAAAGTTTAAGAGCGCTGACAATTCTATGAACGGCGCCTTTACGTTGCGTGACCCTTTTTATTTATTGCTTGCTCTAATATTATAATTTAATGTCAAAGTTGGAACACAATTCTGAATTTGATTTATTAAAATAAAAAGTTAGAACAACATTTAAGTTATTTAGACACAGGAAAGAATGAAGACATAATTTATGAACCATTCCACAACTAGATGCATAGTCTTAAAAGAAGAAATCCAAAGATAAAAAGAAAAAAATATTTAGTTTGTAAATATAAAGTTATTTCTTAATACGTACAAGTTTAATATCAAGACGTTTAACCTTTAAATACATCACATCGCAAATTTCAAGAATTGCTCATAGTGTAAAAAAATTAAAAATGTTACTTTTAGTAATATATAAATATAAAAATTAAAATAAATTTAATTAGGTGGAAATGAGTTTTTACATGTAAACTTGACACAATGTAAGTATAAATTTTTAATATTTTTAGGCTATTTTTTATTTTCATTTCGAATTAGAGTGTCGTGTCACATTAATTTATAATAAACATTTTTAGTTATATATATTTTTTTCTTGATTTATACACACATCTTTAAAAATATAAATAGAATTTTAAAGTAAATAATATTTCAGATTTGGAATATAATAATCGATGGTAATGTTATTATAATTAATTTTTAAATGAAACATTGCTGTTATCAATATAGTTTTTTTTATTAGAGGAATTGCAAGAATTATTAAACAATGATTTTATAATCGTGGCAAGAGATTGATCATGATAGAAGAAAATGAAGCTTTAATTCCAAGAAACTGTTTGTAAGTCTTTTGTAGTTTAGCAATGTGGTGATATGCTACGAATGGCGAAAAATGATTGAAATAATGTTTTGATTTATGTGCTGTTGAAATTGATAATAAAAGAGAATTGTGAGGTAGCATTCTGGGGAGTCGCTGTCACGTGGTGTTTGGATTTGCGACCCCACGACCCCACACCACAACACAATCCGTGTAACCGTGTTCCTGACTGAGTGAAGCGTAGCCTATGCAGACACGACACACACTTAAACACAACCTTAATTCAAACATGTTCGCATAGGTTGAAAACTCATCAATGTTTCTTACCTTCAACCCAGAAAAAATAAAAATAAAAAACGCGTTCGAGAGGGAGAAGAGAACTAAGGTACTGTTCAAACAAGGTAAAGCAAAGGTATTTGAGGCTTGAGGGAGGACCCTTTTGGTTGTTCTTCTCATGGTGGTGCTTTAGGTGCTCCCACTGTGTCAGCAAAATCTGACAACAATAGAATCTTCGTGGATTGTGGGGAACAAAAGTACCATAAATAGCCATGTTGTTGAAATTGAAAAAGGAATATTGAGTTTTTTCAACCAGGGTTGGTTGATGCAGAAATTGACACTGTTATGTGATCTGGGTTTGTCTCCAAATCACGTGATCTGGGTTTTGTGCTGTGACAAGATTAAAAGTTGTGACACTTGAGGCATTGGTTTTGGTTTGCAAAGTTTGGTGAATATTGCAATAGAACTATCTTCATCCAGAGTTTTCAACTTTACTTGGGGTGTTAGTTACCATTGATATTATGGGGTCTAAAGTTTAGAGCTTTGGTTTGGTTTGTGTAGAGATTGCCACGTGACATGTCGGCAGCGTCACCGTCTCCGGCAACATCCACGGCTGCTCCACCGCCACAAACACCACCCTCCTCCAGCACTACTCCCTCACCGTCCAACGATACTCCTTCACCGTCCAACGCCACCACTCCACCTCCGCAACAAACCCCTCCTTCCACTTCGCCGCAACAACAAGCTACCCCGCAGCCACAAACCCCATCTCCGGCGGCTCCGCCGCCTTCTCCGCCATCACCGCCACCTGCTACTCCATCACCACCACCTAGTTCTCCAACTCCCCCCATGTCTGGAACATCCCCTCCGTTAGTACCTCCATCGTCACCGCCGCCATCTCCGGATGCACCGCCACCGGTGTCACCGAGCTCTCCACCGCCGCCACCACCATCAGCACCAGTTCCATCAAGAAGCCCTCCACCACCGCCACCACCATCAAACCCTCCTAACAACACATCTCCACCGCCATTATCACCACCTCAACCGTCACCATCAGCTCCACCACCTAACAACATTTCACCACCACCGCGAAATTCACCACCTCCTCCGGCCACCACGCCACCACCGGCCTCGCCAACACAAAATTCACCACCTCCTCCGGCTGCACCGGCCCCCAGAAACTCCACTAGGTCACCGCCACCAGCGGTCGATGCACCGCCACCGAGATCATCGCCGCCGCCAGCACCAGAACCATCCAACCCTCCTTCTAGGATTAGTCCTCCTCCCATACCAAGTTCCCCACCAGCTCCACCTTCAAATTCTACACCAAGCTCATTACCTCCATCACCACCATCAGTTACTCTATTGGCCCCACCACCGCCATCGCCGTCGCACATTTCATCGTCTCCGCCCCCGCTTCAGAATGGGACAGAAAATTCAACCTCTGGTGGAGGCGGAATTGGCACTGGTGGTTTAGTGGCTATTAGTGTGTTGGCTGGATTTCTGCTACTTGGCTTCATTGGTGTTCTTATGTGGTGCATGCGGAGGCAAAAGAGAAAGGTTCCTGTGAATGGTGGTTATGTCATGCCATCCACTCTTGCCTCATCTCCTGAATCAGGTAAATTTATATATGTTTCTGTGAGTTAAAATTAATTTATATATCTCACCTGTTAGAGAAGTTAGATGAAAATTTATGTAAACTTTTAGTATTTAATTTATGAAAGAAGCTTAGTTTAATTTGTTTTCTATTACAGAGAAATTTATCCAACCAGAAACATTATGCCTCACTCTTGTTATGTCTTTACATGCCCTCTTTTATTTGGTAGTTGGGTACTTTTGAAATTTAATAAGATAAAGCTCTCATTATTGTTAGACTGGTTGAACTAGTTCATGTTTGTGGCTTTCTTAATCTTAAAAAAAAAATTAAACCTTTGCTAAAATGTTGGCATTAAATTAATTAAAGTGTGTGACTTTGGCCAGATTCATCCTTTTTAAAGACACACTCATCAGCTCCTCTTGTACAAAGTGGCTCTGGCAGTGATGTTGTGTACACACCATCTGATCCTGGTGGACTAGGCCACTCAAGGTCATGGTTTTCATATGAAGAACTAATCAAGGCTACAAATGGTTTCTCAAGTCAAAGTCTTTTGGGTGAGGGTGGATTTGGTTGTGTGTATAAAGGACTTCTTCCAGATGGAAGAGAGATAGCAGTCAAACAACTGAAGATTGGTGGAGGTCAGGGCGAGAGAGAATTCAAAGCTGAGGTGGAAATTATCAGTCGTATACATCATCGCCATTTGGTTTCTTTAGTGGGATACTGCATTGAAGATAACAGAAGATTACTTGTCTATGACTATGTTCCTAACAATACCCTTTATTTTCATCTACATGGTAAAACTACATCTGAATGATAAAAGAATGTTTCAGTTCAGTTTGATTATCTTTGATTGTTAACTGAAACTGTAATTTGCAGGGGAAGGCCAGCCTGTGCTAGAATGGGCAAACCGTGTTAAAATTGCAGCTGGTGCAGCCCGAGGACTAGCTTATCTCCATGAAGACTGTAATTATCAATCCTTATTTTTTTTCCTGGTCTTGAAATGCCCATAAATGCCTGTCATTCCACTTTCTTTTTGGCAAATTTTATTTTTTGGAATTGGCTAAAAACTATTTCAGAATTTGAATGAATGTGATTTTATGATGGGTGCTACAAAACATTGTAGTGTAGATAGTAGATGTGGCTTGGTAGCTAGGAGACTGGACATTATCCTGACATAGAAGGATATCAATATTTATAGAAGAAAAATTATAGTAGGAGAAAAATATATTTCTCCTATAGACCAAAATTAGCTTATGCACCTCAATTTTTGGAGAAGTTACATGAAAGAGTTCAATTCATTTTTATTTTCTTAATTTACCTTTTGTAAAGTGTTTATGAAGAAATTTATTGGACAAAAATATCTAGTTAGGTTTAACTCAAAAATATTCCCTAGTCAAACTTA